TTCCCTCACTAGTTCAACAACTAAATTTTATAAACACTTTTTTTGGGCACCTGCAAGCACATCAGGGAACAGACAAAACTCCCTTCATTCACGGCAGCACCCCTGACATCCTCATTGGAAATGTGATTGGAGCAGTGTGTCCCCAGCCTGGGGGGTGGGTCTGGGGCTCATGGACATCTGGGTAGAGGCTTCAGCCACAGGCTGGAGAAGGAGCAGAGTAAGGAAGTGGGGACAGTAGGCGCTAGGGGGCTTGCTGCTGCTTTAAAATCTGGGGGGTTATCAAACACAATGGTGACATCCTTGGGTAGGAAGTAAGGGTGAGCTCCATCAGTGACTTCACTGCCTCCCCCTTGCTCCCCAGCGCTCCTGTCTCAGTCAGCTGGCCCTGATCATGCCATCCAGCAGAATGGAGTCAGACGCCTAAGTCCCTGTCCGCTCTAACGGGAGGAGAGGGGCTGGGCCAAGGGGGAGTCTACTCTGTTGTGGGAAAGCAGTGGGAGAGGGATGTGGGTAGCCCAGCAGGTCCTCTGTTTTGAAACACCCTCCCCACTTCATTTCCTGGGCCCCTGTCCACAGCAGACACCCCTGTCTATGGCATGGGCCTGGCCTCTAACCGATCTGGGAGGGTACATCCTGGCTGTGTGTGGGTTCCGTCTGGGGCACGTATCCAGACAGCAGTTGGGGCTGTGGGCTCGGACCACCAGCTCAGTGACTGCAGTGGCTCCTTGCTGTCATGTGGGTCAAACTCAGACCGTTCCTAGCATCCAGGCCACCCTGGTCACCTGGAGCTCCTCTCCTGCCTGATCTCACCACCTGGCCCCTTGCACCCATCACCCCGCTGGCCTGACTCCCCGCTGTCCCCATGCATCCCTCCTTCATCCCCATTGCAGTGTCCCCTCTTGTCACTCCTCTTGCTGGATGCCTGTCCTGAAAACGGTGCTGGAGGTGGCAAGCCTCACAGTCAGGCACTGAGTTCATGGCCTCCCTGGAAAACGCATGGCCATTTATTATAGACTCTCGGACTTTTTAGGAGAGAACCAGAGAGGGCTGGGGAATATGGGCAGAGGTCTCTCTGGTCCCAGCGAGTGAGAGTAGCAGCCCAGCAGGTCTGATAGCACTGGCCTGGAGACAGAGAGAAGGGGGACAAGTAGAGCCCCACCTGCAGCCAGGGCAAGGGTGGCAGCACCTGTGAGGCTTCTCACCTGTGAGGTGGGGAAGACCCCCATCCAGACTCTAGTGTGGTGATGAGGTGGGCAGGCCTTGGGAGGACATGCATGAAGGCTCCACGTGGACATCACTGGTCTCCCTCCTGGTGGCCCGCTGTTTGGCCCTATGTCATGGGGGGCATTTCTGTGCGGCCTGGGCAGTAAGGGCTCCCAAGCCCTGAGTCACCCCTCCATCCCCCAGCCAAGAATACAGTGGTGCGTGGCCTGGAAAACGTGGAGGTGCCCGAGGGGGGCGAAGCGCTGTTCGAGTGCCAGCTGTCCCGGCCAGAGGTGGCTGCGCACACCTGGCTGCTGGATGACCAGCCCGTGCTCAGCTCAGAGAACGCCGAGGTGGTCTACTTCGAGAATGGTCTGCGGCACCTGCTGCTGCTCAAAAACCTGCGGCCTCAGGACAGCTGCCGGGTGACCTTCCTGGCTGGGGATGTGGTGACCTCAGCGTTCCTCACCGTCAGAGGTGGGTGTGCGGGTGGGGGTCTCTGCCACCCCTGCCACTGGATACTCTGCTGAAGGGGTGAGGAGGGGTTGAGCTGGGCCTGCAGGTTGGGCAGGTCCCTCAGACCCTTCCCACTATGGGGTAAGGGTGTGGCCATGGGTCTCTGAGACCCCTTCCCACCAGATGCCAGGGTGCAAGGAGAACCGGTGGCCACAGGGGGCGTGGGTCTCTCAGACCCCTTCCACCCGATACTGCCTTTATAGGGGGAGGGTGGGCAGAGTGGGGAGGGCTGTTAAGGGGGGCTGTTGGTCTCTGAGGCTCCATCCCACATGAAGCTTGGAATTTGGAGAACAATGATCTCAGAGATCAGATCTCTAAGACCCCTCCCACCCGAGCTGGGCCACCGACTTGGCTCAGAGGTAGAGGAAGGGGTGAGGGGGAAAGGTCTCCCAGCACCAAGAGGCCACCATCCTGGTCCCAAGCTCACACCCTGGCCCCACCCTCAGGCTGGCGCCTGGAAGTCCTGGAGCCCCCGCGGGATGCGGCCGTGGGGGCAGGAAGGCAGGCCCACTTCAGCTGCACGCTCAGCGAGGTGGTGCCCGTGGGCGAGGCAACCTGGTACATCAACGGGACTGCAGTGCAGCCTGACGACGTGGACTGGATGGTGACCGCAGATGGCAGCCACCACACTCTGCTGCTGCGCCGCGCCCGGCCGCACCACGCCGGCGAAGTCACCTTTGCTGCCCGCGATGCCGTGGCCTCCGCGCAGCTCACCGTGCTGGGTGGGTGGCTTGGGTGCTGGACTCTCCCATGGGTGGGTAGGGTCGGAGGTTCCAGCTCCAGAAGCTACTGCAGGCTCTCCGTGTCCCTCCACCCAGGCACACAACCCTCGCTCCCGGAGACAGGAGCCCGGGCACCTGTCTGCTCACAGGCCTGGGGGGTGATCTGTCCGAGCCCTCACTGCACCCCAGAATCAGACCCTAGGGCAGGAGGGGCTGTGCCCCATATGAGAAAATGGATACCAAACTGACCACCCTCCCCCGCAGGCCTCCCGGATCCCCCGGAGGACGCCGAGGTGGTGGGGCGCAGTGACCACTCCGTGACGCTGTCTTGGGTGGCCCCCACAAGCGATGGCGGTGGCGGTCTCTGTGGCTACCGGGTGGAGATGAAACCATCGGCCACTGGGGAGTGGCAGCTGTGCCACGAACTGGTGTCCCAGCCGGAGTGCGTTGTGGATGGCCTGGCCCCTGGGGAGACCTACCGCTTCCGCGTGGCGGCTGTGGGCCCTGCAGGCGCCGGAGAGCCCGTGCACCTGCCCCAGACAGTGAGGCTCGGTAGGTTGCTGCCCTAGTCCTGGCGGATAAGGGTGGGGGGTCCAGCCTGGAGCACTTGGCCTCCTTAAACCAGAAGAAGGTCGGCATGTCCTTACTGATGTGCGCATCCTCAGCAGAGCCCCTGGGACCTGCGCCCAAGCCCCAAGCTCTGGAGAGCCGGCAGGTGGCGGCCGGCCAGGATTTGCGTCTGGATTGTGAGGTGGTGGAGGCTGGAGAGGTTGTCTGGCTGAAGGGAACAGAGCGCATCCAGCCTGGGGGGCGCTTCCAGGTTCTTTGCCAGAGTGGACGACAGACGCTGGTGATTCGGGACTTCTCAGCAGAGGACCAGGGCGAGTACCGCTGCAGCCCTGCCAGGGATCCCATCTCTGCTGCTGCCGTGGCCTTCCAGGGTGCGTCCTCCAGGGCCCAGCATGCGGGAGTGGAGGAGTGGGGGGAAACCCTGGGGTGGGGGAGACCCCCACAGCAAGGGGTCCACTTGGGGAGTTTGCCTCACACCAAGGGAAACTGAGGCTTGCTGGGGAGACGCACAGACCCTGCATGGCTCAGCCTCATGTCGGAGCCCATATCTCTGGCATCTTAGGCTGCACCCCTCTCCCTGAATGTGATCCTGGCCATCACAGTGCTTGACACCCACTGCTGGTCCCTTAAGTCCTCAGGCTCCTGTGCTCTGAGTCCCCCTGCACTGTGTCTCCTCCCCCCCGCGTGTGAACCTCCCCATGACCTCTGAGCATCCCCCCCTCACTCTGAGGACTGAGGCCTGAGCAGGGGAAGTTGAGGCCCAAGGAAAGTGGTTTGGAGCCTCTGAAACCTTGTAAAGGCTGTGCGATCAGAGCTCTCCAGAAGCCCAGGTGGACAGCAGAGGCCTATTGAGGGGAACCACAGTCGGCAGCCCAGTTCCCACCTGGCTGACCAGTCTCCTGCTGTCCACAGTGGTGCTGACACCAGGATCCAGAGATGAGGTCCCTGCACAGCCCAGCCTGCCTCCCGAGGCGGCCCAGGAGGGTGACCTGCACCTGCTGTGGGAGGCCCTGGCTCGAAAGCGCCGCATGAGCCGCGAGCCCACACTGGACTCCATCAGCGAGCTGCCTGAGGAGGACGGGCGCCTGCAGCGCCAGCGGCAGGAGGCAGAGGACCTGGCCCCTGACCTATCTGAGGACTACTCCACAGCTGATGAACTGGCACGCACTGGTGAGGCCGACCTCTCACACACCAGCTCTGACGACGAGTCCCGAGCAGGCACTCCTTCCCTGGTCACCTATCTCAAGAAGGCTGGGAAGCCTGGCACCTCTCCACTGGCCAGTAAGGTGAGCCTCCATCGTGGCCTGCAGGGGAGGCTTGGGTGTCTCAGATCTTTACCACTCATTGTCCATCCATGCATCATCTTATTCACCCATTCACCATCCACCAACCCATCCATTCAGTAAGCCTTTGTCCATCCATCCGTCATCATCCATTTATCCATCCAACAGCCATCCACTTATCCATTCATGCATCTACCACCACCAACCTATCCATCCATGCACCTCCATGTATCACCATCTATCCACACATTCACCCATCTGCCCACCCATCCATCATTCAACCATCCATCCGTTCACTCGCTGTCCATAGGTCTATACCACCCATTTATCCATACATACATACATACATACATCCATACATACATTTATTCATCCATCTGCCATCCACTTAACCACTTATCGATCCAAGGTAGTGCAGCTGCCAGCAGCGGAGGCAGAGTGGCCTGCTGGCGCTGGGATCAGACTGGGTTCTGCCGCCAGCCTACCCCGGAGGCCCCTGCCCATCCTTTCCCTGACCCAGGCCTTGGTTTCCCTACCCTATCTGTGCACACAGGTTGGGGCTCCAGCAGTCCCTTCTGGAAAGCTGCAGAAGCAGCAGAAACAGCCAACCACAGTGTGCCCACCACCAGGAGACCTGAGTATTGAGGACCTCAGTGACCCATCTCTGGACAAGGCAGCCATGAAGATCCAGGCTGCCTTCAAGGGTTACAAGGTGCGGAAGGAGATACGGCAGCAGGAGGGGCCTGTGTTCCGGAGCACATTTGGAGACACTGAGGCACAGGTGGGGGACACCTTACGTCTAGAGTGTGTGGTGTCCAGCAAGGCAGACGTGCAAGCTCGTTGGCTGAAGGATGGAGTGGAGCTGACGGATGGCAGGCACCACCACATTGACCAGCTCAGGGACGGCACCTGTTCTCTGCTGGTCGCTGGCGTGGGCCATGCGGATGCGGGCTGCTACACCTGCCAGGTGAGCAGCAAGTTTGGCTGTACGGTCCACAGTGCCCACGTGGCTGTCAGCGGGACGGAGAGTGAGGCTGAGAGCTCCTCTGGTGGAGAAGTGGATGACGCCTTCCGCCGGGCAGCCCGGCGGCTGCACCGCCTCTTCCGCACCAAGGGCCCAGCTGAGGTTTCGGAGGAGGAGATCTTCTTGAGCGCCGATGAGGGCTCAGGGGAACCTGAGGAGCCTGGGGACTGGCAGACGTACCGCGAGGATGAGCACTTGGTTTGCATCCGCTTTGAGGCACTGCCTGAGGCCCGTCGGGCGGCCACCCACTTCCAGGAGATGTTCAACATGCTAGGCATTGGGGTGGACATCAGCCTGTTGGAGCAGGGACCCCGGGGGGTGGAGATACGCATTGCCAAGGTGGCCCTTGCCCCCGCAGTGCCTTTGGAGCCAGTGCCCAGCTTGCGGACCACAGAGGCTGGTGAGTCTGTGAGCCACCTGGAGTGGGATGGGGCGGGAGAGGAGAGGAGAGGCTGGTGCGTGACCAGGGTCAGCTGAGAGGTCAACGAGTTGGCTGGGTCCCAGCTTCTGGCTCTTGGCAGATGCTGTCCACTGAGGTTGGCAGAGCCCAAGTTTGTGGTGGATGGAGCTCCAGCTCCGCCCAGTTCTGCCTGTTATTGTCAGAGCCTCAGCATTCTCATTTGTGCACTGGCTATGGGAATGCTGACTTTTGTTTGTTTTTTTCTCCATGAGGGTTTGAGATGCAACCTGTATAAAAGGTGGGGTTCCATGTGGTCTGGTCTGCACCCCATTTCCTGCTCCAGCAACAAAAATTAATTAAAAAGCCACATCACTGTTTACTTGTATGCCCCTAGAAATGGCAGAAGAGGTTTCCTTAACCCACAGTGTTGTGCCTTGAAAATTTCCTTCTCCATTCTTAGAGCGAGGCCTCAACCCTGGACTCCCAGCCATAATGCCTTGGTCCTCCCTCCACTTCCCCTCCTCCAGGCCTCCTGTCTGCTGTCCCTCTGGCCACAAGGTGGCTTGGGAGCCAGGCTGACAAAGGGAGGACTCCCCTAGAGCCGTGGTCGGCAAACTGCGGCTTGCGAGCCACATGCCGCTCTTTGGCCCCTTGAGTGTGGCTCTTCCTTAAGCCTTAGGAGTACCCTAATTAAGTAAATAACAATGTACCTACCTATATAGTTTAAGTTTAAAAAATTTGGCTCTCAAGAGAAATTTCAATTGTTGTACTGTTGATATTTGGTTTTGTTGACAAATGAGTTTGCCGACCACTGCCCTAGAGAATGGGGAGGAGGGAAGAGCTCAGAGAGCAGAGACAGTGCTGTTTAGCCGCTTAGTCTGTGAGTGCTCTCCCTTGTGGGTCACGCGTGTGCACCGCTGCAGCCCAGGTGATTGGGCACGGGGGCTGCTACTAACTTGCACACCCTGCCTGTCCCTCCCAGCCCCAGTGTTCCTGACTGAGTTGCAGAATCAGGAGGTGCTGGACGGGTACCCTGTGAGCTTCGACTGTGTGGTGACAGGCCAGCCCGCACCCAGCGTGCGCTGGTTCAAAGATGGGAGGATCCTGGAGGAGGATGACCACTACATGATCAGTGATGACCAACAGGGCGGCCACCAGCTCATCATCACGGCTGTGGTGCCTGCAGACATGGGTGTCTACCGCTGCCTGGCTGAGAACAGCATGGGTGTGTCCTCCACCAAGGCTGAGCTCCGAGTGGACTGTGAGTGTGGCCGGCCTGCTTTGCTGGCCTAGGGTGGGTGACTCAGGAGTTCCTGGCTGGGAGGGGCAGTGCTGGGTTGGATGATGTCTTGTGGCTGATGGAGAGCTCTCTAGGAGCCTCTTGGAGTGGGGATAGGGGCCTTAACTCTTTGAGAAGTATCAGGGCTGAGGAGGGACCCAGAAAGGCTTGGAGGTGTCCTGGGGCATGGTGGGTGATTAATGGCACTGTGGGCAATAAGAAATATGTACTAGGTCTCATCCCTGGTTCCTGCTTAGAGCTCTTAAATCTCTTAAAATTCTGAAGTGATAAGTCACTAAAGCAGTGACTCCTGGAGGGCCTCTAGATGGCTTCAGGATGGAGGATGGTCATAGAAAAGACCACATCATGGTCCCTATAAATATGTCTAACTGATTTTTTAAAAATATGTTTTTTTTATTATTTCAGAGAGGAAGAGAGATAGAAACATCAATGATGAGAATCATTGGTCAGCTGCCTCCTACACATCCCCTGCTGGGGATGGAGGCTACAACCTGGGCATGTGTCCTGACCAGAAGTCGTACTGAGACCTCCTGGTTCATAGGTCAACGCTCAACTGCTGAGCCACGCCAGCTGGACATGTCTAACTGATTTTTGACAACAGTGCAAAAGCAATTGAGTGGAGTAAAGTTTCAAGATGGTGCTGGAGTAATTTGGACATTTATAAGAAAAAAAAAGAACCTAGACCATATATGAAAATTAACTCAAAATGGATTACATGCGTAATATGAATATAAAACTTTAGAAAAACAATAGGAGGAAATCTTCAGTACCTAGAGCTAGGAAAGATCTTTGTATACTTGACTGGCAAAAGAAAAAATTAGTAAAATGGACTTCATCAGAGTTAAAATCTTTTGCTGGTGTGGAGCAATGAAGTATTTCTTAAAAATTGATTTTAGAGCCAAACCGGTTTGGCTCAGTGGATAGAGCGTCGGCCTGCGGACTCAAGGGTCCCGGGGTCGATTCCGGTTGCGGGCGCATCCCCATTGGGGGGTGTGCAGGAGGCAGCTGGTTGATGTTTCTCTCTCATCGATGTTTCTAGCTCTCTATCCCTCTCCCTTCTTCTCTGTAAAAAATCAATAAAATATATTTTAAAAAAATTGATTTTAGAGAGCGGAAGGGAGAGAGAGAGACAGAGAAACATTGATGTGAGAAACATTAATTGCTTGGTTGCCTCCTTTATGCACCCCCATTGCGGATCAAACCCACAACCTGGGTATGTGCCCTGACCAGGAATTGCACCTGCCACCTTATAGTGTATGGGAAAATGCTCTAACCAAATGAGTCACACTGGCCAGGGAGAGAGAATGAAATTCTACAGGCTGAGAGAAAATATCCACAAACCATATATTTTGTGAAGGACTTTATCTAAACTATATAGAGAATGCTCAATTTTAAATAGTAAAAAAATGCTTAAAAATCTAATTAGAACAGGAGCATGTGCAGAACTTCAGGGGAAAGGACACAGAGATGACAAATAAATGTGTCAAAGGTCTTCCACACATTAACCAACAGGAAAATGCAAACCAGGACCCTAGCAAAACATCCCTGCACACAATGGAATGACTAACATAAAAACTGTGATGCCACCACATGCAGGTGAGGGGCCAGAGAAATGGGACCCTTGTGCACTGCTGGTGGGTGTCAGTGTAAGAAACATTCAAACCTGTACAGAATTTTTGTGAGTATTTGAACCAAACTGCCAGGATTTCAACAGATTGAGATAATGCTCCAGAGAATGGCAGTTTTACACCTTATTTTATACATTACAATCAAAAGAGACGTAAATGGGTTACATTAAATTCATTGGTGATAGATTAGGGAGAAGGGAGAAAGCAAGAGGGGGACCTCTGGGATTGGATACCAAGTAAAATGATACATCTTTTAGGTAGGTTGGTACTGGATAGTTAATAGTCAACAATTAACATGATAAAAGCAACAATGAGAGGATTTGTAGTCTCTGCTCTGGTGCATTGGTTGTGCCCTGAGGGGTCCAGAAAAAAGAGGAGTTACCCTGACATTCCAAAGGTATGTTATCGTAGATGCAAAAGACAATAGACAGGCTCAGTCAAGGTAAGATTGACTTTTGTGAGGGAAGATCCTAGCCTAGGACATGATTACCCACCATAAACTGCTTTTAGTTTAAAAGTTTTAATTTCAGACCATCCTTTGTGGTTACTTTAGGTCTTTGATTTTGCAAGACTGTCACACCTTCCCTGAGCTTGTCAGGTAGCATGTAGAACCTTTTTGTCCACATGGGAGTGGAAAATGGTGCAGCTACTCTGGATCATGGTAGGGAATTTTTTATAGAATGAATCATGTATTTACCATATGACCCAACCATCATTTTGTTGAGTTTTCAAGAAATGAAAACTCAAATTCATAACACAATCTATACTCAAATGCTCATAGTAGCTTTGTTTCTAACTAGAGGCCTGGTGCACAAAAATTTGTGCACCCGGGAGGGTCCCTCAGCCCGGCCTGTGCCCTCTCGCAGTCTGGGACCCCTCGAGGAATAACCACTTGCTGGCTTAGGCCCGCTCCCCGGGGGACTGGGCCTAAGCTGGCAGTCAGACATCCCTCTGGCAGCCCAGGAGCCCTCGGGGGATGTCCACTTGCCAGCGGGGAGCAGGCCTAGCTGCAGTCGGGCATCCTTAGCACTGCTGAGGAGGCGGGAGAGGCTCCCGCCATCACCGCTGTACTGGCAGCCGTCAGCCTGGCTTGTGGCTGAGCAGAGCTCCCCCTGTGGGAGCACACTGACCACCAGGGGGCAGCTCCTTCATTGAGCATCTGCCCCCTGGTGGTCAGTGTGTGTCATAGTGACCAGTGATTCCCAGTCGCTCTGCTGTTAGGGTCAATTTGCATATTACCCTTTTATTATATAGGATAGAGGCCTGGTGCATGGGTGG